ATACATAAAAGTTTTTATCAGAACAAGAAATATATTTTTTGCAAAATATCGCTTTTGTCTGGAGTGGACAGGGTATATAAGGGTATAAGTTGGGAAGTTAATAAAAAATTATACTTCATTTGAACCATATTGTATTGGCAAAATTTTGTTTTCTATATAAAAAAATAAATAATTTTCATTTACTCATTATTTTTTCTAATTTTAACTCAATTTGAGGTCGTACTTCCACAGAAGCAATTCAAAAATACTACAGTTTCTTCAGTAACAGAAGTCGAATTGAATTTCTCAAGCAGTAGAAAATCTATCTCGGCAGCCAAAAGGCGATAGGATCAGGAAGGTAGGTATATGAAAGAAAAAAAACGCAATTGTATTAGAATAATGGACGTTCACTGTGGGGAATAAAATATTAAGCTCCAGAGAGATACGAGAAAAAGACACAGTGCCGTTAAAAGAAAAATTCTAGAATTCGTCTTAGGATCGTGGTAACACATATTGTCTTTGATGTGTTTTCCCCGAACGTATATTGGATTTCTTTTACTTTTGCCGTGCATAGCGCTGGTCCACTTTGCATTTTAGCGACTTCCACCACAAATAGGTAGCTCATGTAAGATTCAAGAAGTTAATTTTATACTGCAATGCTTTAGAATTTACTGTATACAGTGCCGTATTTTTCATAAAGTTATTGATCACTAGCTTATTACCCGCTGAGTTGCTAGAGTAAAAATACATTTTGGAGTAATACACTTTTTTTTAAATTTTTTTGTTGATTTTCTGAAAGTTTTTAATTTTTTTCATCCGATATAAGGGGGGGGGGATAATAAAAAAATTATAAAACTAATACCAAACACTTTTTCAGATTCCGTGCTTTATTTCCTTCAGTTTGATACCACACAGGCTATATTTTCGGAGGAACAATTTTTTCATGAAGGAAAATGATAAGGGACATAATGCAAAAACAAATGCGAAACACTTTTTTAGATTCCGTGCTTTATTTCCTTCAATTTGATACCCCTCAACCCATATTTTTGGAGCTAATTTTTTTTTATGATGATGGGTGACATAGGGGGGTAATAGGGGAGGTAATAGAAAAACGCCGAAACAAGGGTCCTATTTTTTTATTAGTAGAGTCTACATATCAATTTTTAAACATCTGTGACTTTTCGTTTCCGAGATAAAGAAAATCCCTTCACCCCCTTTCGACATCAAATTACCCCTATTTCTCTGCTCCCAGTTAAAATTTCAAAAAACCCTGAAATACGTGTTCACTTATTTTGTTGGTAGAATCTATGCCAATTTTCAGATCTTTGCGGCTTCCCGTTTCCGACATACAGAAATCCTCTTTAATGTTTCAACCCCTATTTTTTTCCCCTTAGAAGTGAAATTTTCAAAAATCCTTTCTTAGCAAGAGCTTACGTCATAAACCCAATACGTTTCATAACTATAGGTCAAGTAGTTTGGCCTGTGCGTTTATAGTTGCTGACTAACTACCGTTCTATTATTAGTATAGATTGTATAAATATTTTAATGATAAAATACAGGTGAATTATTATTAGGGCGTATTTTAGAATGTGACGATCCTGGCAAATCAAGCTCTCAAGAAATAAATTTGTTGTTTAAAATAGCTAGAAAACAGTTTTAAAAGAATTAGCATTGATAAATTTAAGATGAATAACAATTGAGATCTCCACATAATGTGCTATCCTCAAGACACTATAAATTTTGGTCACTGTTTAATGGAAGAGATTATAGGATGTGAAATTAAAGAAAATAAAGCAGGACCCGTCGCCACGTCGAAATCCGGGTTGAGAAAGGAGTAGATAAAGCCGAAGATAGGTTTATTTTATAAATTTATAGATTTCTGAGTTTACTTTTGATACTTCTGATAAAAGAAAACAATGTCTTGAAATTGTATTTAAGGCATTTGAAAAATCCATTTTCAACTTAAAGTATGGTGGGACGAATTCCTGTATGTTTTTCGTTTGCAGCGCAACGACATGAGGCTAATTTTTTGGGGTTTCTTTTAAATGTTTAGGTGTTAAGGAATCTAGACATCCTGATCTGAGAGAAGGAATTACAAGTTTAGTTTCAGATGATGTTGAAAACTTTCCTCAAGCAAGCATTTTGTCATCAACTGCTGGGTGTTTTATCGTTTTGCGATATAAATTCTTCACTTCATAAAATCAACTTCCAATTTATTTGGTATCATGAGAAAACTCTTATTGATAAATCATGAAAGTTTCAAATTGCTGGGATGGCTCAAAGTATTTTTCAGGAATTTTCAAAGACGATTTTACAGGAATTTAATGATTTTCTCAGGTATTAATGAGTAAAAAAAATCGTAACTTTAGTTGTGAGTTTCATATCAACTCCCAATTTGTTTTGTAGCATGAGAATACTTTAATAAACAAATCCTGGAAGTTTCAAATTGCTGGGATGGCTCAAAGTATTTTTCACAACCTTCAAAGATGATTTTACAGTAGGTATGATTTTCTCAGGTATTAATGGGTAAAAAAAATCGCAACTATAGTTGTGAATTTCATATAAACTTCCAATTTATTTTGTATCATGAGAAAACTCCAATTAATAAATCCTGGGAGTTTCACATTGCTGGGACGGCTCAAAGTATTTTTCAGGAACCTTCAAACACGATTTTACAGGAATTTCATGATTTTCTCGGGTGTTAATGAGTAAAAAAAGTCGCAACTTTAGTTGGGAGTTTCATATCAACTTTCAATTTGTTTTGTATCATGAGAAAACTCTAATTAATAAATCCTGAAAGTTTCAAATTGCTGTGACGGCTGAAAGTATTTTTCAGAAACCTTCAAAGACGATTTTACTGGAATGTTATGATTTTCTCAGGTATTAATGAGTAAAAAAAATCGCAACTTTAGTTGCGAGTTTCATATCAACTCCCAATTTGAACTTCGTTGACCAGTCAGAAACAACTACTCCGAGGGCAAATACCCCTACCGGCGTTGAACTACACTGATTGGTCTGAGCTTTCGTTGGCAGTAGAAATTGTTAGAAAGATTTTTACAGGTAATCACCAACGTGAATACAGGGGACACTTCGGTCCCTGTTTGGGAATCGGCCCACTGAGCAGTGGACTCAGGCTTCCCTTGCCAATCCTTGACGCGTTTCGTCCTTGTTAGGACTCATCAGAAGGACATAGGCTGAAGCTCCCTGTCCAAGCAAACAGGGACCGAAGTGTCCCTGTATTCACGTTGGTGATTACCTGTAAAAATCTTTCTAACAACTCCCAATTTGTTTTGTATCATGAGAAAACCATAATTAATACATCCTGAAAGTTTCAAATTGTTGGGATGGCTCAAAGTATTTTTCAGGAACCTTCAAAGACGATTTTACAGGAATTTTATGATTTTCTCAGGTAATAATGAGTAAAAAAGCTTAAAACTTAAGTTGTGAATTTTTTATCAACTTCCAATTTGTTTCGTATCATGAGAAAACTCTAATTAATAAATCCTGAAAGTGTTAAGTTGCTGGGATGGCTCAAAGTATTTCTCAAGAACCTTCAAAGACTATTTTACAGGAATTTTATGATTTCCTCACGTATTAATGAGTAAAAAAAATCGCAACTTTAGTTGTGAGTTTCATATGAATTTCCAATTTGTTTTGTATTATAGAAAACTCTAATTAATAAATCCTGGAAGTTTCAAATTGCTGGGATGCCTCAAAGTATTTTTCAGGAACCTTCAAAGACGATTTTACAGGCATTTTATGATTTTCTTAGGTAATAATGAGTAAAAAAGCTTAAAGTTGTGAGTTTTATATCAACCTCCAATTTGTTTCGTATCATGAGAAAACTCTAATTAATAAATCCTGAAAGTTCCAAATTGCTGGGATGTCTCAAAGTATTTTTCAGGAACCTTCAAAGACGACTTTACAGGAATTTTATGATTTACTCAGGCAGTCAAACCAGCACTAGTAACCTCCAAAAGATTTCCAGAACATGATCCAGAGTTATTGGAGTTTTAAGAATGGTCCTCATAACATGACAATGTATTTGACTGTTCAAAAGTCTCTTCTCACAAAGCCATTTACCTATTGTAAATCGAACATTGTTCATTCTCATATTTCATTTTAAAAGAATTACCTGTTTCTATCCCAGTTGGACAAAAGCGAGTTCAATTTGGTTCTTGAATCGTCTTTAAAAAGATCCTTTATTTTGTATGATTTTACTGGAGCATATAATAAGTTGTAGTGTAGTGTACTTTGACATTTATTTTGTAAGTATTTCATTTTGTTCCAGATTCCTTATTTCTTCCTCTGGTGATCTTCCAAATGGCGGCATACGTGTTGCTCCGGTGAATGCGCTGCAAGATAAACAGGTTAATAAATGTTAGTCTTAAGATTAAAAAGAAAAAACAATGTTAACTGTAAGCTGAGAGCGCTTAAGTGTAAAATTGTTTATATGTATAATCTATTTTCAAATATAAAGACTGAGATTGAATAGATTGAGAATTTATTGGAAACCGCGATAATTATTTTAAAAAAATATTAGCTATACTTCGAGTGTATTATTATTATTATATAAATTAATTGCACATCGTAATAATTGTTAAAAATAATAACAGTTTTCAAATTATGAATTTTAATATTTTAGAGTTCATTATCGAATTACTGTATATGAAAAAAATCAAATTTAACCGAAGTTAGTATGCACTTTCGTAGATGATTGTAAACATTCTAATTTATAAATATTTAGAAAAATGCAGGATGTTTGTTAAAGTAATATCCATGGAATAAATCAAAAGTTATTTTGCATACAAAAGATTAACAAAGAATATTATGTGGCAAAGTTTTCATAAAACGGAGTTTGGATTAGTGTCTACCTTAGACTAATATCTACTATTGATTTTTTTTTCTTCTATGAAACTGTATGTCTGATTGATTGAATCATCAACGAAAACGAATCGAAGAAAGGTTCACTTCAATATTATCTTTTATGTAAATGTACTTAATTTTTTTTCATTTTTCAGAGAATAATGCCATGGTGAAAACCTCTTGCAACAGTAACTTTCCTAAAAACTTATGTATGATTTGGGCTCTAAATGCGGTTTGAAAATGGACGGATCTGTTTTCAAGCAATTGAAACAATGTCCTTAACATGTTTATCCACAACAATTATTATTGTTAGTATCAACATCTTTATCATTCAGTGGGTTGTGCAACCCACTACACCTACATAAACTAAGTCAATAAGCAGATGTTACACGATAGACAGCTTGCAAGGCTTTTTACATTCCCCTCCGCTTTTTCACTTAGGATTTATTTACTTACCTACGCCACGAGCTCAAAGATGCCAATCTTATGAAATAAAAACATATCTGGTTCAATTCTCAACTTTGTGAAAAAAAAAATCTTATCACGTCCGAAAATCATCAAAACTGGTCGGGAATAATAATTGTTAAGAGGAAAATTATGTTTGGCTCATACCTTATTTTAAAATAATCATCCAATATTCTGACGGTTCTGACACAAATAGCGAACTCCGTATTTTATGCAAATGATTTTTGTACACTCATCAATTATTAATTCCATGATAATTAATAATCATATGAGCTAGAATGACATTAGCTTCGCGAATAATGCCAAACTACCACGAATAATGTGCCAAAAAGATACCTTAGTGAATTATTGATACTAGCTTTTATTGTTACATCTTTATATTTTTCGCAATCATGGATAATATCATAATGTAGGTATGTAGCTTTTTTATATAATTTAGAAAAATGTACGACCGTATGATAAAAAAAAAATAAGAATTTTTCATAGATAACGCTTTTGTTGTAAAAATACTATTACAGGGTAAAATAAATCTTAATGAAATAGCCGCGGTGCAATTGTTCAGTCATAACAGAATTCAATTCACCTATAATATTACTAAGAAAGAAATTCTGTTTGAATAATTGCATGGGAAATAAACTCATTTTGCTTTCTGAATTTTATCATATGGTAATTTGATGTAAGTAATGCAACCTTAAACGTTAACTTATTGTATATATTCCATTTTAAAATAAGGAAAATACATGGGTACTACCAAAAAAATTGGATTTGGCATGTTGATGGTGATATTTTATATCAAACGGTAGCGAGGATGTCGTGACAAATACAGGGTATTATCCAGTTTAGGAGGTTAATACTTTTTGGGGTTTTGTAAATTTAAAATTAGTTATTTTGATGTCTGGAAATTAGCCACAAATTTGCACGATACTAATTTTCATTTTTTTTTTTTTTTTAGTAAAATAATAAAAACCTTACTAGCGATAACAATATTGTTGAAAATATGAATATACATATATTCGGTATTCAGTATCTTGTATCTTATTCTTATAGAAAAGCCACCAATCTTATAATACCTGACCATCAAGTTCAAATACGATTGAATGGTAAAACAGATTTAAAGTGGAAGCTCCTCAAGGGCTCATCCAAGTCACTACCATCATGAATTCCCTTGTGAATTCCGCTCCTCTGAATCTACTGTGCAGTGCATACAGAAAAGGACGCAGAAATGGATGCTGTAAAGTGCTGAGCACTAGGTATGGAATGGCAATTTTATGATTACCAATTCGGTACTTTTCTGATAACGACGAATTTCACGAAGGGCAACAGTTTTCCGACCTGTAACGATCGACACGGAAACTGCGACGTCGTGATGAGTGCAAATTATGTTCCATCTGTTTATCTCGAGCAATCTTATGAAACCCTGTTCCTATTTCCGCCAAACCAGCTCTTTGCACCTGGAATTTCTAGAACGAACACTTTTCTTTCTAATGTCTGAAAAAAATACATTACTAATACCTCATCCCTTACCGATGCTTAAACCCAGTAATCACTTGTCAAATCATGTTAAAGGCTTCCCCCCTCCAAAATCACAAGGCAAAAAATATAAATCACTGAGAAGTACCAATTTGGTGACATCCCATTCATCGCTGATTAGTTTAGAAATGATCTAAGAGAACAATATTGTTTGCGAAAAGGTGCTTATTCTATTAAAAATTATAATAAAAATATAATGAAATTGTTGTCGTGGCTACATTCATGGACGAATTATTTATTAAATATTAATTATTCGTTCATTCCAAATGAATTACAACTCCAGTATTTTCAATACCAAAGATTAACAAACCAATATATTGGAGCATGTTTTTTAACCTAGATGAAAGTCACATCACATAAATGACTATATTATGTCAATTAAACTTTACTATTTTTTTGTTAATTAATTATGATTGAATACATCCTCTCAGCACTTAACCATGTACATAAATCAAAATTAAACCTCATTAAAGTTGTTTATTCAAAATACGAAAAAAAAAAATGCATCAATGTTTGCTTTCACCTCCTCAAAATAACCACAAGTAAGTAGGAAATGAAAATTACCAACATTGTAAAAAAAACTAAAGAAGCTTCAACAGGGTATTAGGCTTTTTAGTCAGGACAAAATTGGTTATATCAATATTTATTCAATTTTCGTTGGTCTGAGCATCTCAAGGGCTTGTTAAAACAATACGGTTAAGTCGACCCAAAACTTTGCCATGTTCCAATACCATTCAATCTTAGGTTTTAATAATCTTTTTTAAGGGGATTTCTCGATGGGGATATTATCTTTGTTTTAATACTTCCATTAACCAATTTAAAATCGAGTTTGTTCTAACAAATGTAATTTTTTAGATTATAGATCTCATATTCCTCATATTGTTTTATTTTAAACATAGCGTTCCGAGCAGCATGCTCTCAATGCAACTCGAATTTCATGAAACTAATATACAATGCAAATTTGGGTTCCTGCATACATTGAAGTGGGAACAACTCCAATTACTCTAAAAAATTATTTAAAACAAATGTTGCTTGACGATTACATTTTCATTACATGCAACTGACATCATGAAAAAGTGTTTTTTGGTTTAGACAATCAGGCCGCAGGCCTATGGTGTATCCTCTCCTGTTATTTTAACAGTTTTGTTATAGCTCAGAATCTATACTTGTCTCTATTTTTACGTGTAGAATAAACAGTGACAGTTAACTTTGCTGTTAAAATAACTGAAAATGATACATCATAGGCCTGAATGTCAGAAAAAGCAAAATACAGGAAAAACGCAAAAGACCAATAAAATCAGCTTAATATAATATATCAACAGCAGACGATTGAGATTCCTTTGAGTTCTTGGAACCGGTTATCAATACACTACAAAACTCTGGATGCTTCACAAAGGGTGTCCAAAGAAGAGATGCAATTTTTCTGGGTGGAGCTAAAAACCTTGCCATGACCAGAGATATGGGAGAGTTGTTGGTTAGAATAGAATAAGGGTCCATCCTGCGCAACTGGCCGAATTTGAAGGACCGCCATTTTTATCACTTGTCAAATTCGGATTTGGAAAAATAAGTTATGAACAGCTCATAACTCCAAAAATAAGCAGAAATAACAAAAATATATTTTTTAAAACACCACTCTGATAAAAATGTCTCAGAAAAAGCAGAAAAAATCACCAACAACAACAATCTGTAACCGACCAGAAGTAAGGTTATGTTGTGAAAAATTTGTCAGATTGAAGTTGTCAACGGAAAAACTAATAGCGTTTTCGATTGGAAAATTTAATGCGCATTCAGTGTTTTTTCATCCTTTTTCATCAACCTGTAGAAGAAAAAGATAGAAATAAAATAAAACTGTACTGTACTGTGTCAAAACTAGTGAAAAGTGATAAAAATGGTGACCCCCTATGCGTTACCAATAAATCGGATGCGCAGTCGTCTAAGCGCATTCTATTTCCCTCACATATCTCTGGCCATGACGAGGAAAAGGCTTTTGCACTTGATCTTGAGCTCACCTCTAATACTTTCCTGTCAAAGGTAAGTTACAACTTCTGACTTTTTTGGAAGCGATTTTCTCTAAAACTGGTGATAGGATTATTATGTATGAAATATTTTGGGAAACTGATGACACTCCCGGACGAACCAAACGTGGCAGTCAATTGTTTTTCTGTTGAAATTATACATCGACTCTAATAATCTATATCCCTGATATTTAAAATCGATGTCGATTGTCCTGTCTAAGCTAGAACTTGATAGGTTATCGTATCGCCACCCAGTATACAACAGTGCTGCATTTTTATTCATGACTACCTATAGTCTGGCAAATTTAATTTTGCCGGCGTAAAATGGAGGACACACGTGGTGAGTTGTATTGTGAACCTTGTCAAACTTATTTTTATGAAGGTAGCCATAATAGGTTTCACTCATCAGCAGCCAATCGCCTTATTGATGTACTGTCAAGGGAAGGAGTGGACGCACCTGTCAATTTTGTGTCCGCATTCTTCCCGTCGTCGACAAATTTATATTTGTCAGACTTTACGTGGCGTCATTCAATATTTATTAAAATAATAATAATAATGCACATGTAGAACTTATTACTCTTTTGCTTTTTCTGTGTGCATTCGAGCCTATTGAGCCTGATCTGATGACCTGTTTTTCTTGCTACATAAATAATTTATGATTTGAAAAAAAAATTGAATATAATTGCCGGAGTTTCAATAGATAATCTGTGCAAATTTGTACATTATTTTAAAATACTGTCTGATTCCATGTCAATTATACCTACTTGTAGTCTGACAGTGTATTAGTAAAATAAGTTGTTTTTTCTTATCAAGTCAATAAGATCACAATGTATTTCGTGTGTATATATTAAATATAAAAGATATAAGATATAAATAATGAGTTTCATTTTTATTATGGAATTAGATTTCTTTTAGTTTCAACTTCAAGCAAATGGAAAATGCTAGTATAACTGATGAATACAATAGCCCTTACGTAAAGAATTCAGTCCTAAGTAAATCAGCAACTAGCGGTGTTGATTAATGCAACATTTTAAAACTTCTAGCTCTGGAAATTTCGTCTACAGTATTTCTCATTAGTAGTATTAGGTAAGGATTGAAAGTTTTGAACTAAAAGTTGAAAAAGTGCTGTGCCAAAAACTCCAATCGATAGAGCAGCTCTAAGTTGGTCAAACGACTCTAAAGTGCGACAACTGAATGAACCTGTGTGGAAGGAATGCGGGCAAAACCC